GAAGTATTATTAACATTTCCAAGGAATGGTGCCTCTTTAAAACCACCTGAAACATTAGCCAATTCCAACTGCTTAGGAACCAGCGGCGGTGGAACATGAAATAAAATCATGGCAGCTTTCTACTTAAGATGCCTGGGCTGAGCTGGCAGAAATATGGTACATCTCTGGGCCAAAAGGACTATTGCTGAAGACAGCTGAGTTGATCAAGTAAAGAAGAACAGATTATAAACAGGGTCTGCCTACTCTGGAGGGTCCCAGCATTACCTCCTGATCTTACTGTCCTAGCTCAAGTGTCTGGGAACACAGCACACTGCCCCCTACTCTCCCTCAGGACCATGTCTTTGCAGTGAGTCATCAGGAATCTCACAGCCAGTCAGACTATATGGAGTGCAAGAAACTCATTTTGTACAGGGTATCAGACTGCAAGCAGGTCAGCATATTACAGGTTCTTGCTTGACACCACTAGACATCAGTGTGATTTATTTTTATCCCACTATACTTCTCTGCCTGTGAGTAATCACTTTTAGATTGATGGTATAAAGAAGGCACATGCTCTGCCTGGTACCTTCTCTGCCAGAGTCAGGCTAAAACTACTCTCTGGGCCCTTCTCTAGTATCCTAAGCAGGATGCACTAGTTCACTTGGTCCTCATGCCTTCAAGTCTCTAGAGCAGTGGTTTTCAACCAGTGTGCCATGGCACTCTGGTGTGCCATGAGAGAATCTTAGGTGTGCCACAAAAATTTTTAAAGATCTTTAATTAAATTATTTTCAAAAGAAATTCAAAGCACCTTATTTTACTCTTTTTATTTATTTATTTATTTTGATCAACATAATTTAAGTGTGCCATGGAAGTTCAACTATAGGTTCAAGTGTGCCATGAGATTGAAAACAGGTTGAAAAACATTGCTTTAGAGATAGTTTCATTTTTAGGAACTGAACCCAACTCAACTTTTAATCTACTCCATTGTAGCCCCAGCTCCAAAGAACTCAACTCCCTTCCTTCTGCACACACCAGTCTCCTTTCATCATTTGGTACTTTTTTCTAATCTGCTTTGGCCTCATACTTTCAATTCTTCCCCCAAAGCCTTTCCTAGCACTCAATTAAAAAAAGTAAGAGTATACCCTGAACACACAGACATTAGAGGAGTAGGCTGTCCATCTTAAAGATGACAGGAGGTACATAGAGCAAACCAGTTCTTATTGACATGAACCCAAGAATTATAGAACTGGAGGAGATTAGATTGTCTTCTCTAACCACAGTTTAATACTTGACCCCTCTCTTTGAATGTCTTCTCTCATAGGTAATTTAGCCTATGCTTGAACACCTAAAGTGATTTGAAATTCATTGTCTTTAATTCAACTTATTTGATATTTGGGGAGCTCTGCAAGAATAGTCTTTTATAGGGAGAGCTGAAATCTGTCACTCCATGACTTATGTTTTTTTGTCTTTGGGATAGGATCCCTTTCCATGTTCATTGGGGCTGTGAGTTGGACCCTTCATTAAGACTTAAATAAATGAAGGCAAACTACTGAGGAAAGGAATTGAGAGGTTCTTTGTTTGAAAGTCTAGCTCAGACTCCTGTTAGGAGATAGGAATAGGCCACGTGGGTGCATGTTATAAAAATTGTTGCTGCTATGGGCTGAATGCTTGTGTCCCTACAAAATTCATTTGTTGAAACTCTAATCCCCATTGTGATGGCATTTGGAGATGAGGCCTCTGTGATGGGATTAGTACCCTTGTAACAGCAGATACTAGAGAACTTGTTTCCCATCTCCCTCTGCTCTCTGCCATGTGGCGACACAGCAGGAAGTCAGCCATCTTTACACCAGAAGAGAGCCCTCAGCAAGAGCCTGACCATGCTGACACTATGGTTTCAGACTTCCAGCCCCCAGAACTGTGAGAAAGAAATATTTGTGGTTCAAGCTACTCCAGTGTGTGGTGTTTTTCTGATAGCAACTAAAACCACTAAGACCAAAGCAGCTGCTGGAACATTTTTGAACATGCATTAAGTTTACTTTTAGTTGAGTTAGAGATTAGTTAGGGACTTAAAGTTAGGCTCTGACTGTAGTGCCTAAAGCACATAAGAATTTATTTTTTCCCATTCAATAGAAGTCCGTAGACAATGCAGGTGTTTGCTCCTGGCATAGACACTGAGGCTTGTCAGCACAGTGTACCTCCCACTATTCAGGCCTTTTCATGGTGATCTTGAGATGGATTTTGAAGCTCCAACAGCTTCATCTTTATTTCAGGCAGAACAGAAGAGTAAAGGAGGTGATGCTTAAAGCAAAGCTTGCACAGATATATCCTCAGCTGACACCTGTTTGGCTAGAATTATGTCCGCAGCCATACTTAATTGCTAAGGAATGTAATTTTTGAAAGCTGGGGACATCACTATCCTCTATAAAATGGGATTCTGTTAACTAGAAAGAGGTGAAATGGCTATTGAATGGCAATAGTGTTTGCCAAAGTGTATTAATATATGTATGTCTTCCCTATTAAAACCTTGTGTAGTGTTAATTATAAATGTTCTGACTCTACAGGCAACATAATCATCGCTGCCTAGCTTAAGCATAGAAGAGCTTATTAAAGGATGTTAGGTGGTTCACAGACTTCTCTGAGAGGGCCAGAAAAGCAGCCTTGTGTACAGTCAGGGGTGGAAACTACATGTATGAAAGATTCTCAGTTGCCACACAGACTATTTATTGTTAAACAGTCACTGCTGCCCCCACTCTTCTCTACTTGGCACCTAACACACTTGGGGGCCAGAAACTGCACCACAGCTGCCACAAAGGACCAAAGTACCCACTACTTGACCACATGAAGAGCCACTCTCTCCTCCTCCTGCTCACTTCCACAGCCAGACCTCTCCCAGGGGAAACTCCATGCCAGACTAAAATGTAGTCCGTGCCGTCCACCCGCTTTAGTATACAGCCAAACTAATCAGGGCTTACGGTAGGTGTCAAATGAGCCAACCTATTGTACCCACTTGTGTGCCTTTAAAACAGACCAAGAGTTCTATTTCATAATGTTTTGTCAGGAATGACCAGTAGTTTCCCAGGGCTTTGAGATATGGTGGCAAAAAAGGCATCGTCTGGTTTTGGAAAAGAATGGTTTGCTGTGAAAGAGAATGACACAAGTTTTCTAATTCTATTTTTTCTTCTTCATTGCATGCTGCGTTTTTGTAAAGATAACAGATGGGAATCCTATATTCATTAAGGAGGAAAAAACTCTTCATCTGCTAGTGTTTTAAATAAAGGAAATATGTAGTATTTACTGCTGCCCTTTGAAGACCCTTGGAAGATTTTAATTAGCACCGAATATGATGTTCCATCTGCTTAAAGCAATAGGCCACGTGGGCACAAGGCCTCTCTTGTCAGGCTGGTGAACCAGTCTCCAGGGTCTACTTGAAATTAATAAAAAAAAATTTTAAGTTCCTATAAATTACCTAAAAGTTATCTTTGTTATAGAGAGATTTATAAGAAAATGTGTGTGTGTGTGTGTCTGTGTGTGTGTAAGGAGGGAAATAGAGAGAAAGAGACACACACAAATTCAACAAAAGACCATTCAGACATCTCTGAATTCAGCCCAATCTTCTCTAGTGTCCTAATTCATGATGATACTACCTTTTTCTTAAAATGACCATTTTTATGGCATTTTCATGGAACATTTTTTACATATTGTTATATGATCATCTCTGTCTTGTGAGGTAAAACGGAGTAGGCAATATTTTCTCTAATTTAAGTAATAAGAAAATAAAGTTTCAAAAAGATCCAATGATTTGCCCCAGCTCAAGAAGTTCAAAAGAGACTTGCCTCACCCTGTTGCAGGAATCTTTTGGTTTCTATCGTGGTAACTATCCAACAAAGCAGGCTGTATCATGAAAGGAAGAACCTTTCCATCATTAGAAATATTATTTTACACCCAGTAGGCTTTACTAGGTTAGGTCTGAAATAGAATGCGTAGTGGAAAAGTGACTTCAGTACCCTGGCAGTATGACAAAATAGTTATGATCATTGGGAGGAGACAGACAAACATGGGGTTGAATCCCCATATCAGCAACCTTCTAGTGAGTGACCTTGAACAAGTAAGCATGAGAGCTTAATCTCCACAGACTCAATATTCCTATTCATAAATAGAGGATATAAATAAAACCTTCTCATACAGGAATATAGCACACGTTCTGTGTTCCCTAGAAAAGCAGATCATCCTATTACTATGTATTAATTCATAAATATTAATAGTTTATTATATTAACAAATTGAGGGTCATTCATTTATTTAAAAACTATTAAACACACTGTGAAGACACTAACAAATGTTAATAAATCCCCACCCTTAAAGTACCAAAGAGAGTATGGTAGATTTTACTTAGGTTAAATGGTGGGGGGAGGGGGTGTGCTAGAAAGTTACTGTAAGTTATTTGTTCTTCCAGCTAAGTATTAAAGAGTTGACTATATGTCTCCAAGGACTAGAGTTCTGCAGTCATTATTGGTGTTAGTTTATGGGGAAAAGGAAAAACTAACACATAAAGTAATCTGAAATATCAAAATGACCTTTTACTTTAGACTTTTCAGATAAAATTATTTTTCACCAGTGCAGTGGTTTGAACGCTTATGTCCCCTCCAGAATTCATGTGAAAAGTTAATCCCCTATGCAACTGCTTAAGAGGTGGGGCCTTTGGGGAAATGATTAAGCCCCTCTCTGGGCTTAGGGGCTCTTAGCCTCTAGGGCTCTGTCCTCCTGAATGAATTAGTGCTCTCATAAAGAGGCTGGAGGGAGGGCGTGCTCTAGTGCCCTCTTTGCCTTTGCCTGCTTCCACCTTGCGAGGACACAGTATTCAAGGTGCTATCTTGTAGCAGAGACAGGGACCTCACCAAACACCAACCCTGCCAGAGCCTTGATCTTGAACTTCCAACCTCCAGAAATGTGAGGAATAAATTTCCCTTATTTACAAATTACCCAGGCTCATGTATTTTGTTATAGAAACAAGAATAGGGACCGGCCCCCCGAGCCCGTGGGCAACGTCAGTGCTTTTGTCACCGCCACGTCGCAGACGTGGTGACCTCAAAAACTATGGATATACTCTTCAGAATAAGAGGAGGCCTTGATCTGGCTTTTCAGCTAGCTACTGCTAATGAACTTTTTATCAAGAAGGCACTAAAACATATGTTGTGTGATCTGTCTACCGAGCTTTCTTCAAATGCGCTTGTGTTCAGAATTTGCCACAGTTCAGTGTATATATGGCCCAACAGTGATATAAACACCATACCCAGAGAGCTGACTGATAGCTCTGCCTGTAAGACCATATTGCACTTTATTCAATTTGAGCAGGAAGAAGATATAAAATGAAAATTCATGAGAAAGAAAGACAAAAAGTTATCAGACATGCATCAGATAGTAAATATAGATCTTATGCTGGAAATGTCAACCTCTCTGGCAGCTGTAACCCCCATCATCGAAAGGGAAAATGGAGGACACCACTATGTTAATATGACCTTACCAGTTGATGTAGTTATATCTGTGGCTCCAGAAGAAATATGGGGAAAAGTTCGTAAACTTCTAGTTGATGCAATTCATAATCAACTAACTGATATGGAAAAATGCATTTTGAAATTTATGAAAGGAACATCTATCGTGGTCCCTGAACCACTGCACTTTTTATTACCAGGAAAAAAAAATCTTGTAACAATTTCATATCCGTCAGGAATTCCAGATGTCAGCTTCAGGCCTATAGAAAGGAGTTACATGATCTCTTCAATCTCCGTCATGACAGACCTTATTTCAAAAGGTCTAATGCTTATCACTTTCCAGATGAGCCATACAAAGATGGTTACATAAGAAATCCACATATTTATCTTAATCCACCAAACATGGAGACTGGTATGGTATATGTGGTCCAGGGCACATATAGCTTCCATCACTACATGCAGGATCGGGTAGATGACAATGGCTGGGGCTGTGCTTACCGGTCTCTCCAGACTATCTGTTCCTGGTTCACACACCAGGGATACACAGAGCGCTCCATTCCAACACACAGAGATATTCAGCAGGCACTAGTTGATGCCGGTGACAAACCAGCAGCATTTGTGGGATCACGGCAATGGATCGGATCCATTGAGGTTCAGCTGGTACTAAACCAATTGATTGGTATAACTTCAAAAATACTGTTTGTCAGCCAAGGTTCAGAAATGGCCTCTCAAGGACGGGAACTGGCTAATCATTTCCAAAGCGAAGGAACGCCAGTTATGATCGGGGGAGGAGTTTTGGCCCACACAATACTAGGTGTTGCATGGAATGAGATAACAGGGCAGATAAAATTTCTAATTCTAGATCCACATTATACAGGAGCCGAAGATCTACAGGTTATTTTAGAAAAGGGCTGGTGTGGATGGAAGGGCCCAGACTTTTGGAACAAAGATGCTTACTATAATTTATGCCTTCCTCAGCGACCAAATATTATTTAAAGTGTCCTGGAGTCAAAGGCTGCAGTAAAGTGGTATTATAAATTTAATAAAGAATAAGCTTAATTTTATATTAAAAAAAAAAGAAACAAGAATAGACTGAGTCTATTGTGTTGTTCGTACAACACAGGGAAGTCAGGTGGTATTTCTATTGTGTTGAAGAAGTTAAAGCTCCTTCGGAGTCCCTCAAAAATCAGTGCAGGCACTAAGCTAGATGCTTGAAACACAATGTAAAGAAAACAAAATCTTCACCCTGTGGAGCTGAGGATTTCACCATTGTACTCAACATGTAAAGATTGTGAATTAACCATCTATGAGGCTTAAAAATTAGGGGCACAATTTAATTCATATATCTGGTTATATATATTAATAGCCATCCCGTTTTACATTTTTACTTTTTCCCAAATATTTACATCAAGTGTATTAGAAGAACAAAGGTACATTTTATTTCTGATGTTTTAAAGTATTTTCTTAAAAGTGTGAATTGTTGTTTGCATTTTTGACATTTTTGAGTCATAAGTTGCCTACAGATCTTAAATATTCCCTCAATGCATTTTGACAAATATATATATTCTCTTTGTGATCATTCAGATCAAGGTATGAAACACTTCCTGAACCTCAAAATATTTCTTATGGCTTTTTCCAGTAAATATTCCATCCACACCCCATCCAGAAACAAGTACTTTCCTGATACTTAGTTTTGCACCATAAATTAGTTTTGCCTGTTCTTGAACATCGTCTAAGTGGAATCCTAGAGTATGAATTCTTTTGCACAACATAACACCTGTGAAATTCAACCATGCTATTGCTTGTATCAGTAATTCCATTTTATTGCCGAGTCATGTTTTATTATATAAATATGTTCTTTATAGTCATTCTTCTGTTAATGGATATTTGAGTTGTTCCAGTTTGGAGCTATTGTGAACAGGGTCACCATGAATGTTCTCATACAAGTCTTTTTGTAAAAATATGTACCCACTTCTTGTGGACGTATACCCTAAGAATGGAATTGCTGGGTCTAATGTAGCTTAAATATAAGGAATATTACTAACAACATGGACATATAGCTATCTTTCAATTCGCTATACTAATATGCTTACACATGGGTCAGAAACATATATACCAAAGAATCGTGCAGTTCAAAGTGGCCAAGAATTCCAAATAATTTGGGTTAAGAACTTTTTCAAAGTGCTTGTTTTCTCTAACCCAGGCTTAGAGGACATCTGTTGGACACTATGTTGCATTTTAGTTAAGTATGGAAAAGACCAAAATTTGCCAAGGATAATATATGTGGATGCATGAGAGTTGATTACCATTTCCCTTATCCTCAGTAACAATTACATAATTATTTGCCACTTTAGCTAAATTTAATAAGGTTTGCGCATTAGAAAGGGAAGGGAAATTACCAGGTCTGAATGAAGCTGAAAGCAAAATGTTTTATTTCATTCAAACCTTGAGTGAGACAATATCCATCTTTTATTCTCCCTAAGGAGAGAAGTAAAATGGTTTTAGTTTGAAATATTTATCTATTTGTTCCTGTCCCTTCCCGTATTTTGGTTGGAAGGATAGTTTAGGTAACTTTCTTGGCACCTCTTTCCACTGCTACATTCCACCACTCTCAAGGCCACAGCCTGCCAAGACTTCCCTGATTCTTCTGCATCAGAGACCATCTAGGTGACCTGAAGAAAAGGGACCAAAACATCTCTAAGCTAAGGGTCTAATGACAGAGAGTACAGTAAGGTGTTACCTTTATCCTCTACCCCTTTTCCTCTGAAGATTCCTAGAATAAGGAATCCTCTTGCCTCAGTATAAGGAGAAATGGAAAACTTTAGTCATCGAGGTCAAGCAGGCTCGAAAGACATTTTGCATGTAGATGGTCAGGATGTTCATCATTTCATAAATCTTATCTAAATAAATAGACAACTTACCGACATAGTTATCATTCTACAATATATTTCTTTAGCATCCCAGGAGGGGCGTAGTAGCAGAATCAGTTTCCACAGTAGATGCTTATACGTTGCTACCCAGTTTTGCACCATGTAGAAGACCTGGGGTACATTTCAGCGTATGTGCAAATTTCATCTGCCGTGCTGCGTAACAGCATCCGCCTTCACTGATTCTTGAAGGGACGTAAGGAAAGCCCCTAATTGTATTTCTGATCTCGTTTTCTCTGCCTGGATTCTTTCCCCCCACCACCAAGAGTTTGCGATGATATATCTATATTAAGCTAATCCTCAGTAACATGGGAAAAAATGGAAAATAGAATTCAAGAAAGGAGATGGTCAGGAAGAAATTTACCCAAATAGTATCATACTTCTGTCTTTTAAAGGAGTAACTAAAACAGGGAACTTCAGCCACTAAAGCACAGGAGGGGAGAAGGGGGAGCATTTTTGTCAAGCAAGTCCTTGCTGTGTCCTTCAAAGCTGCTGCTGCTGCTGCAGCCCCTACAGGAAAGCTGTTGAAATGTGCAGCAAGTAGGCCCCTGCAATCTGGAAGGAAAGCTCTCCAAGGCATCCCTAGCAGGGGAAGAGCTTGCAGGCACAACCATTTCGGCCAATATAGAGCTGAAGCATTATTTCTCTCTGGGGTCTGGGAGAGTGATTCATTATAGAGAAGAATGCCAGAAAGCAGTCTGAGCTACAAAATTAGCATCCACCCCCAGGAGCAGCTTTTGCCTTATTTGTGAGAGACACTATCCAAAGGGAAGCGTCATTCACTTCTGAGCAGCTTGAACCAATATCATTGCTTCTCTCTAGCTTATATGTCAACTCCACACTGGAATTAGAGTAGATAATCTTTTCTGTTTTCTCTAGCAAGCCGATCAGGAGAGGTCTTCCAGTACCTGAGCATTTTTAGTCTGATAAAATGTCTAAGAATGGAAAAGGCTGTACCTTGCACTCCAAAAATGGTGAGATTTCCAGATGGCGCTGGGAGAGGAGATGTAGATAATGTTAGAAGTGACACTGAGTTTCTAATAGAAGACTGTTCATATACAATATATGGAAGCTCATCCAAGAAAAGTCAGGTATACTAATTTGGTTGGGCAAGTCACTAGTGACCCATTCACTGGAAAATTAAAGGAAAATAAATATGAGCTAATCCGTTACTAATAAAATCTAATAAATGGGCTCTCCATTTTGCCATCTTTGAATTAGAGGTGGAAGTCATAGAAGTGAAAACAGCACACTTGTCAAAACACTTGGTGCTGAAGTGTAGGAGCAGCATAAATGAGGCTGAAAAAGAGAACTGGTGGGGCAGCAGCTCAGGAAATCACGCTCTTCTCTGCCCTTCTGTCTCCGCTGGGACACACCTTCTCAGCGAGGCCTAGTGGAAGAAATGTATCCTTAGGCCTTAGTACAAAGAAGTACACTGAAATCACATCACCTGCATTTGGTTCTGTAAAGAAAAGCCATTCATTTGTTGTGTCATTTACATAATCTATCCTATTTATTGGTTATAGTTATTGTTGAGTATTAGTTTTTTGATTCAGTTATCTAGTATGCTACTAGGTCAAAGATGATGCACAACATTGAGATCACAAAAAAATAACCCTTGTGGAATTTAGAGTAGCAATTTTTAAACTTTAGCATGTCTCAGAATCGTTGAAAGAGATTCTAATTCTCTAGGGCCTGAGGCAGGGCCAGATAATTTATGTTTCTAACACATTCACAGATGCTGCTGCTGCTGCTGCTGCTGGTGACTAGGAACCACACTTGAGAACTGATGGTCCAGAGCAGTTGTTCTCAATTTTGGCTGCCAATCAAAATCACCCAGAGAACTATTAAAAATATTGGTGCCTGGTTTGTAACTCCAGACCACAAAAATCAAAATATCTTGAGTAAGACATAGCCACCCTCTTTTAAGGGCCTTATAGGAAAGACAGACAAATCAGATAATGAGCTGGTATTTATAAAGGAATCAAAAGGCAGTGGCAGAGAATGGCAATGGGAGCCTAGATTATTAGGAAAGACTGTTTGTTGACCTGAAGGAAAAGCAAACAAAAATGTCATGAACAAACATCACAGCAAGTGTGAAGACCCTAAGACTGGAGAAAATTTTTACACTTACAAGATTGAGAAAGGGCTTGCCTGGGGCTGAATCATGGTACTGCATGAGCAGTAGAGTTGAAAAGTGGTAGCTGCAGAAGTTAGCAGTGATGCAGAGACTTGTAGGCAAGACTAAACTTTGAAAAAGTACAGGAAGCCATGGACTAATGGTTTGCATATAAAAGATCATTCTGGCTACTAGAAATAAGTTAGAAAGGGGATGATAGAAATGAGGGATACTAATTAGGACTTTATGAGAGTTCACCAGGCACAAGGTTATCAACTAAAGATGAAAAAAGTCAAACTTTTAAAGAATTGAAGTCAGTTTTATTGAGAAGTCTTACTGAGGACTCTAGACAGAGGCCTGTAGCCCAGGAGCAGTGCTTCAGGGAGGTTCTGTCAGCCCGCTCCAAACCTGCATTTCAACTCATTGCTTATATGGGCCTACAGGGGGTCGGGTCAGGGGTTAGTATGTGCAAAATTACATCAGACTTGCTCAGAAGTTACATTCAAGCAGAATCACATCAAGGTTTGAGTGTAAGAGAACACCTGGTTATAGATTACAGAGGCACCACAGGAGAAGGCAAGGACTAGGGTCTTTTATCTTTTAAAGAATATAGTGACTCAGGCAAAAGACAGGAGGAGCCATGTACTTGATCCTGTTTTGTCCTCAGAGCACCCTTTCAGATTGCTGCACGACACCACAGAGCTGGGGGTTCTGCGACATTAAGCTGGGGAGCAGAAATGAGCAAACGTGTCTTCCAATGACTGTTACTTTACCTCCCAAGGTGGCGCTGGCCTGGATGGGGTGGCAGCAGAGATTGAAAAGGATGGGTAGATTTTAATTTATGTTAGAGAAGCACAATTAAGAGAACATGATCAAGATAGAACATAGACAATACAAGAAACAGAATAATCAAGAATGATTCAAAGATCTCTGCTTTGGCAGCTAATGGTGATACTGTTTGAAGGCAAGATTAGTTTAAAAAAAAAATCAAAATTTTTGTTTTGGACATATTAAATTTTTTACCT